TAGACCAGACAGGAGGTTAGGTGTATCTACTCTATGCCCTTCTGATATAACGCGCACAAGAGCAGCGTAATTAACACATGTAAATCTCGAGTGGCTCTGCACAAATAATGCAATCCAACGCGGAAAGGGGTCGCCACATCTGTTCGCCGAGACGCCCTGCATTATTCGTACGACACAGATCCGTAGATAGGCGTATGTGCGTATGTGCGTATGTGCGTATGTGCGTATGTGCGTATGTGCGTATGTGCGTATGTGCGTATGTGCGTATGAGAGGGGGGTCGAGGGGGTCCGGACCCCCCCTTTTTACCACAAAAAAGGGAAAAAAAGCATACACACACACTCACGCACGCACGCACACACACACACACACACACACACACACACACACACACACACTTCTCTTATATTGTCTCCATAAAAAATCTTGTTTAGCGCTAGTTTTTCTGATAAAGATTTACTTATATATATGCAAATTTGCATTATAAAAAACCTAGAAAATGGGCAAAGAGCGGGTCCGCCAGTTGCGTCCGGCGAGAACCGGATCTGTAAATTTTTGCAATTTCTAGACATCAAAATTACTCGGCTCAGGCGGACGCATTGCTATCAGATGGCAATCAAAATTTTTTCTTAAAAATCTTGGGGGAGGGTTCCCCAAACCCCACTCAAAATGGCCTTCGGCAGCTTTGGGTAAAAACACTAAGAATGTGTTTAAAGAAGGCCCGTAACAAGTAGTGACAGTAGCGGTAACGATGAGGACAATTTTTAGATACTTTTTTTATATTTTGATTTATGCATTATAATACAAGTAGCTATATTTATTCGAGATTGCAATCGTGTGCATTAATAACACTTTGTCAAACTATTTGTTTTTGACACGCGATAAGTTCTTCCTTCAAGAGGCAGATCAATCGGTACATAAATAACACGTTGTCAAACTAACTGTTTTGACAGCATACTATTTGCAATTATATACGCGTATAGACCGGCCACCGGGCGCACAGGCAACCGCGGCTCACCGGTCGCATGGCCTGCGCACGCGACGACCTACACATAGCCAGCGCCGCGCACATGATACACGGCGGCATGCGACATTACTGTATAAGCCACCCCCGCACATCACTGGCATACACGCTTCACCGCGTGCACACAGCATTAATTAGTGCAGTGGACGCGGAACAGCTGAAAAAGGGCTCTTTATCTTAAGGAGGAATAGCCGCCCTACCGGAGGTTATAACAAGCTGGACTGGTCTCATTTTAACCGTCTGGGGATCGCCTAGTTTATGAAAAGACATCGTGTGGTAAAGTTTGGCAGCAACCTTCGTACAACATCGCCCGAATTAACGACTTTGTTTACGGTAACATCTGAAAAAATGACATTTTGCACGGTTAGCCTTGCTATTTTATAAAATTGCAGGCCGCCATTAATATTAATAATTGATGGTTATATCAATGTATTATCATTGAATAGATAATGGTTTTTTATGCAATGTGTTTGAGCGTTTTATGGCCTGCTAAGCGGGGTTAAGAAGGGGCCAAAGTTATAAGGCCGCCCAAATTTGCATGTTCTTTGGCGATTTCGAGGACGCCAAAATAATGTATATTTTCTTGCACTACTTAAAACCAATGAAATGTTATCACTCAGTGTCACGATCCTGAACGTGTCATTCATGGGCCTGAGATGTGCTAGTTGATAAAAAAATTCAGTTTCAGGCATTGGTAAGCACCAGGGTAGACCATCGGTAGCATTTAACGGCGCCCTTATTGTACGGTAAGCATCTGAAAAACTGACATTTTCAGTTTACCTTGCTCTGATTTTATGAAATCAAGCCCATCCATATTTATAATTGATGGTTAATTAGAGAAAGTTGCTCGCTACCTGGAACATCGAAATCCAATGAATCCGCGTTGAATGTGAATTTACCTCCCGGAGTGAGATGGAAGTGATGTGATATCTCCTCCCGGATAAGTGGTCCGTCCTCTGGCACATCTAGCTGCCTTGGTACATTTCGCCAGTGCGCACAGTGTCTGGCTGATAACCTTCTCAGACCATCAGACAATGTATGCGGACAATCGTAAGATGCACGACTTTGTTCCAGAGAGGCATTGTACGCGATTTCATAAGAAGCATGCCGTGCACCCCTTCGAGCCGACATCTTTTCTGAGCTCAATGCTTAGA